GTGCCATGAAATGCCAGAAGAACAAACAAATTTTGTGTTGGAAGAAGTATATCCAGAATAACCCTTAGAAGCCAGGATGGTGAGACTTTGTCTCTCATGCTTCAGACATGTTATCAGGAGGGACTAGTCTCAGGAAAAGGACATCATGTATTATAATGTGAAGGGGTCAGCAAATGGAGACCCCAAGGAGAAGGATTGGCACAGTGGCATCAGCAGTGAATGTAAGCATGTCGGCAGTTGTGGGGATGGCATCAGGGTAGGCAGTGTTCCATTCTGTTTTGCATAGGATCACTATGAGTTACAGTCTACTCGATGGTACCTAACAACAACAGTAGCAACAACAACAACAATATACTGTGTTGTGCAGAAAGGACTATTATTAAATTGGAATAATACTGGTAATGAAAAACATCAAAGTGCTATTGATTAACTACTGGTGTTAATTATATTGGATTTCAAATTTATTTCAAGAAATTAATATACATTTCATTGGTGTATATTGTTTGATTATTAATAAATTCAAATTATAGTTACAAGTGTTTGTTTCCAAGGATGGGTCAGATTTAAGACAGAATTGTGAATGGGAATTTCATCACAAAGTCAATATATTTTCCATAACAAATATTTTCTTCCAGAATAAACTGATACATTTTTCCTCTTCATTCCTCTAGCTATAAGCAAAACATGATGAGAGAAAATGAAACTATCGTGATGGGTTTTACCCTTCTTGGACTTTTCCCAGGCATGAAACACATAGACATCCTCATCTGTACCATGCTCATTGTCTACATTATTGCTGTCACAGGGAACGCCATCCTGGTCCTCCTCCTTTTTCTGGATCCCCGGCTCCACAGCCCCATGTACTTCCTGCTTAGTCAGCTCTCCCTCATGGACATCTCTCTTATCTCCACTACCGTCCCCAAGATGCTAACCAACTTTTTCTCAGGCACAACAGATATTTCATATATTGCCTGTGGGGTTCAGGCGTATTTCTATATTTCCCTTGTAGGCAGTGAATGTATTCTGCTTACCCTGATGGCCTATGATCGTTATGTGGCAATTTGTAACCCCTTGAGGTATGTAATGATTATGAATTCTCGGGTGTGTCTGCAGATGACATTTGTATCCTGGGTTGTAGGAGCAATTAATTCCCTGGTTCAAACTACATATTCCATGCATTTTTCTAGATGTGGTTCAAGAGAAATCCACCATTTCTTCTGTGAGATGCAGGAACTTCTCAAGCTGTCATGTGAGGACATTTCAGCTTATGAGAAAGTTGTGTCAGCATTGGGAATTATATTTCTCCTCATACCTTTTGGTCTCATCCTCACTTCCTATACTCTCATCTTTCTTAGTGTTCGCCACATATCTTCTCCCAGTGGAAGAACTAAAGCTTTCACCACATGCTCTTCCCACCTGACGGTGGTGTTTCTCTACTTTGGTCCAACTATGGTCATCTACATGACTCCAAGTGCCTTGCAATCTTCAGAACAGGGTCAAGGTCTCTCTGTATTCTATACCATCCTCACTCCCATGTTGAACCCTCTCATATACAGCTTAAGAAACAAGGATGTAGGAAAGGCACTGAGAAAAGTTATGTGCAAAACTTAATTATATTTGGCATGTTAATCTATAAAAGTATGAAAACTTTATGATTTATCACAACATTAATGTATGACATTCTTGTGTTGTACAACGAAAACAGTACTTTAGGAAAGAATATATTGTGAAAATGTTTACAACTATAGTAAATACTTAATTACATGAATATACATTTGTCTTTAATTAGGCATTTTAGTGATTTAAATTTTATTAGTGCAACTTTGTCTACAGCTTAAATTGGTAAACTATGATATAAAAAACAACAACAACAACTCTCCTTACTTGTTTAACTTAAACTAGGCAAGCTAAGTCCATGATACATTTGTTGACTTTGTTTTCCATTCTGAAAATGGGAATACTTATAATTATCTACATTCTTGTTCCAGAAAGTTTACTTTAGCTAGATTTGGAAATAATCCATTAATGGGAAAGTATAGGGATTGAGTCCTGGTGGGGCACTTTGAGCTAATGCATCAGACTTCAAAGCCATTTGAACTGCAAGGTCGGCAGTTCAAGCTCACCAGCTGTTCCTCGGAAACCCCAAACAGTGTCGCTATGGGTCGGAACCGACTTGATGGCACTTAACAATAATACCAACAACATAGGGATCATGGTAGCATAGTGGTTATGAATTAGGCTGCGAACCACAAGGTCAGCAGTTCGAAACTACTAGCTGTTGTGTGGGAGAAAGATGAGACTTTTTGCTCTGGTAAAGACTTATAGCCTCAGAAACCCTGTACAGGGTCACTAAGAGTCAGAACCGACTCCAGGGCACATAACAACAACAACAACATAAGGATCATGGGCAATGAATGGAGTTTGCATTAAAATAGCAAATAAGTATTTACATTTTACTTCAAATTGATTATTCAAGTATGTTCTTTCTAGAAGAAGTGATTGTTGTTGTTAAGTGCTATCGAGTCGGTTCTGACCCATAGCGACCCTGTATAGAATTTCCTAGGAGCGACTGGTGAGCTTGAACCGCTGACCTTGCAGCTCAAATGGCTTTGCATTCTGGCACATTAACCCACAGTGCCACACCAGGACTCTAACCTTAATTCTAGGTATTCTCTGTTTGGTAAAAAAACTAATAAATAGCTAATAGACTAGATTTCAAAAAGTAATTGGAATTCAATTTTGTGTTCCATGTCAAGAAGGTATAAACAGCAATGCAAACTTAAACTTGGTCTTCAACATGAATTTTTAACCTTTTACCCATTTTTTTCCATATGAAATTTCCATATGAAAAGCCTATTGTCCAGTTAAGCTAAGTTATCTTATTCTTGTCTTTTTCTTAAGATCTCATATACCATGTTTCTTTAAAGTAAGACAGCTAGAATTAGCATCTTTGTAAAAGATGCATCAAAAGTGATAACTTCTCCCAAAACTTCTCTGAAATGATGTTCATATTAATGTTGTCAAGTGCCGACAAGTCAGTTCTGACTCATAACAACCATACTATCAATTTTCCAAGGAGTGGCTGGTGAATTTGAACCTTTGACCTTGTGGTTCAATGCAACCTTGTAGTCCAGTGCTTTATCCCACAGCGCCACACCAGGACTCCATTTATATCAATAGTCTTCAGTAATAAAACTGAAAGGCATTCTTGTGGCGCTGGAAGGTAAGCACTGTTGTTGTTGTTGTTGTTGTTAAGTGCCCTCAAGTTGGTTCCAACTCATAGCTACCTAAATTATGGCAATTCAAACCTAGTAGCTGCTCTATGGGTGAAAGTGAGCCTTTTGCTCTGTAACGATTTGCAGCATCAGAAACGGTATATAGTATGTCTATGAGTCAGAATCCACTCAATGGCAATGGTTGATGACAATGAGTGGTTCTTGTTGTTAACTACCGTCAAGTCATTTCTGACTCAAAGCGACCCAATGTAGGGTTTCAAACAGCCTCATCTCTCTCCAGTAGAGCAGCATGCAGCTTTGTGTTTCACAGTACAGAGCTTATCCTATGGAGCCACTGCACTCCCAGTGATAATGAGCTATGGAAGAAGGAATTATTTGCATTTTGTTTTTAATTGGAGGCCTGGTGTTGCACTGTGGATTAATGTGTTGGACTACAAAGTCAGTTTGATCCACAAAGTCGGTGGTTCATGATCACCAGCTGCTCCTTGGAAATCCTATGCAGGGTCGTTATGGGTCAGAACCAACTCAATGGCACTTAACAACAACATTTTTTAAATTAAGATGTAGATTTATATCTTATTTTATATGTTTCATTACTTTTTTTCCTGCTCAATATTCTTAAAAATGGAAAAAAAAAATATGTATAGGTCAGGTACACTTTGGACTCCTGGTGTGGCACTGTAGGATCAGCACTGGATTGTGAACCACAGGTTGGAAGTTCAAACCCTATACAGGGTCACTATGAGTCGGAACAGACTTGATGGCATTTAACAACAACAACAACAACACACTTAGGAACACCTTGTCATCATTACATCACTTAGCTAATTAGATTGGCTGCAAATTGAGTGATTTGGCAGTTTTAGATGTCCTCTAATGCCATTGCTACTCAAATTTTAGTAGAAGTCTTAGCCAGGAAAATAAGGCAAGAAAGCTGTGGCGCTGTGGGTTAATGCACCAAACTGCAAAGCCATTTGAACTGCAAGGTCGGCAGTTCAAGCTCACCAGCTGCTCCTCGGAAACCCTGTTTCCGAGACTGTAAATCTTTACCAGAGCACAAAGCCTCATCTTTCTTCCACAGAACAGCTGGTAGTTTCGAATTGCTGACCTTGAGGTTAGCAGGCCTATTCGTAACCACTACACTACCAGCAAGACTATCCACAGCAGGCTGAATCTATAACCAATGGAACTGAGGTGGCCCTAACCCTTCTTGCACGTCAACAGACCCAGATACTAAATGCCATCTATCAAAATAGATTAGCCCTAAACTACTTACTGGCTGCAGCGGTAGGAGGGGTATGTGAGAAGGTTAATTTTGCTAACTGCTGCATACAAGTAGATGACCAGAATCTGGCATTAGAAGACCTTGTAAAAATTCAGAAAATTGCTCATGTCCCTGTGCAACCTGGAGTGGGTTGAACCCACAAAGCCTATGGGGAGGGTAGTTCTTCACATTTAAAGGGTTCAAGACCCTCGTGGGTGGGGTCCTGTTTTATTTGGAATTTACTTAATCAGTCCATGCTTCCTCCCACTAGCAATCAAGGCCATGGGAACTGCCATTAAAACTAATCAATCAAAAGGGGTACCAACAATCCAAATCAATACCAAAATACCATTCCTTACATAGATGATACCCCTGGGAAAAATGTCTCAAAGGGCATCAAAGAGGGGAATGAACAGGAAAAGGTTGCTGTCCTCTCCAGTGCAGGAGGCAAGCTAAAATGCTAATCAGGTTACCAAATGGGACCAATCCCCCTGGTTTCCCCCCTGCAATCAAACAGGTATGCAGCCTGGCCCCTCCCCGGTTTCTGGGCCCATATAGGCCCGTGTTGCCTTCCATTCTAGGCTCAGAATCTGGAAGAATTAGCTCCTTTTAGTCAGCCAGCTTAATAAAATCTGAAACTCTGCTTTAAAAAAAAAAGCATGGATTGTGAAACAAACAAACAAACAAAGGTACAAGGCACACACACACACACACACACACACAATTAACAAAATGAATGAAGTGGAACTTTGATTTCAATCATTCCTTAAAGAAAATAGTTTCAACTCTTCAAACAAAAGAGAGTAGCAGAATGGATTAAAAACAAACAAATGAACAAAAAAACATGATTCATCCTTGTCAATTCTACATGTTAGATCCAAGAATACAAGCAGACTGAAAGTGAAAAGATAAGAAATAATAATCCATGAAACTAGTAACCAAGGACAACAGGTATGGTCACACTTATAGCAGAAAAAAATTTGTTTTTTACAAAAATCTGTTATTTCAGATGAAAAAAAACAGACATTATAGCAAGAGAACCTAGTAATTATGTACCTTCTTGTTATTAAGTACCATGGAGTCAGCACTGACTCATAGTAACCCTGCACAGGGTTTCCAAGGCTGTAAATCTTTATGGGACCAGAATGCCTCATCTTTCTCCTGTGGAACCGCTGGTAGTTTCGAACTGCTGACCTTGAGGTTGTCAGCCTGATTCGTAACCACTACACAAAAAATTATCTGCACTCTGGCTATAGAATTTATTTTAATCAACTTTTAGAAAACACAAATACATCATTTCTTGATATAATCTCCTTGCTTTCCAATACACTTTATCCATCTGTCAAGATGCCTTCAAATTGTTTTAGGTTGAGCTGTGAGCTCCATCAGAGGTTAGTCTTCATCCTTGAAGGGCTGCTTTCGGGGGACCAATGAGTGAAAGTCTGATGGAGCAAAATCAGGGAGTTAACATCCAAAATGAAGTTTTTGCAGTCTGTCAA